TTGCGAGCTTCTCGAAGGCGAAGGCCGGATGTGCTTTGAGGCTGATGTAGCGTATTCCGGGCGGGCCCTCGTCCACGTCCTCGCCGTCATTTGGGTCCTCGCCTTCGCCTTCTCCGTCGGCGTCGTCCACATCCATGCTGCTAGGGGTGAGCCACCCGTCGTCTGGTGTCAAGGTTTCGATTCGGTCGAGCAAGGCGGGAGACTCGCCCCATGCTGACTCCCCCTCCACGGGACCACCGTCAGCACTGAGAGCAGGCCAGAGGATGGCACGAATGTCCTCATATAGGGTATCACAAGTAAACTGGGGCAGCGTCGCGGGCGTTGCGCTTAGTTGTGCTTGCGCAGCCATAGCTAGGCATATTCGCAGGTCATGTGACTGTATGCCCAAACACGGAAGGGTGCTTGCCTTTTTGGGCTCACTTTTCCAACTTCGAGTCCCATTGACATCCAGACAAATTACGCATCTATCCACGAACCAATATACTACACTACTTATACTAAACGCATACGCAGACGCATACTACCAAAATAAACTAACTACATAGCACCACAGACAGCATCGGAAGGCGGAACGGGGGGCACAGAGAGGAAGGCTGGAAGGCTGAGCAGAAACAAAGCGGACAGAGCGGGAAAGCCGTACGTATACTAAGTATGTATGTATGATGTGTTGGAATGTATTATGTTTAAGGCCAAGAAAACGTCTCCGCAGAATGAATGAACGGACAAACGAACGAGATAGTACTTCCTTCCTCTCACCGCCCTGTGCCAACGATGACGCACCGCTCCGTCATCCGCACCTCCCCCTCCGCCCGCTCCTGGACACTCAAGCGGACTGGGGAGAAGGAGGAGACTGCTGTTATCTCTCCCTCTCCGCATGCCCGAGCACCACCCCCGCCATCGCGCGCGCATTCACATGCACATGCTTCGCGCGCTCGCCCACCTCCCAGCACACCTCCACGCCGCGTACCCACATGCAGCCCTAAGATACAAAACAAAATTGTAAGCGTTGATCAAGGAACCAAGGAACTTCCGGGTACGCACCAGCACCTCCTCAATCGAACTCCGCAACTTCGGATCCGGCTCCAGCATCTTCCGTATCAGCGGTCTACACGCGCGCGGGCTTAAATTGCTGATCGTCGGCGGGAACACCAGCGCGCTGTTCGTCCCGTGCCGGTCGCGGTCGACGTGGGGCCTCTCCTTCTCCTTCTCCTTCTCGCCTCCTGCTCCTGCTCCTCCCGCTCCACCACTCGCACCCGTACTTGACGTCGTACTTGACGCCCCAGAGGACCCGGCGGTAGAAGTACCATTCGAGTGCCCGTTAGTAGAGGCAGACGGCGCGGCGGTGAGCGGTGGGGGTGGCGTCGCGGCTGCTGCTGCTGCATAGGCCGCGTAGAGCTGATCGGACGGCTGTGCCGCGCGCCAGGGGAGTTCTTGGAAGTGCAGGCAGTAGTACACGATCCCGCAGGCCCAGATGTCGACGAGGCGGGCGTCGTAGGCTGGAAAGAAAAAAAGAGAAAAGTATCAGCGTTCTGAATATTATAGAGCAGAAGATGAGAGCAAGCACGGGAGGTAAAGGGCGGCATTCCGGACACGGACAACATGGATCAGGGAAGCGTGGTATCTGCCTCTTCTCCCAGTGACAAACGGAGGAGAAAAGGACGGAAGGATGGAGATAGAGCAAAATGAAGAATAGCGACTCACGTTTCCCCAAAAACTGCTCCGGCGCAATGTACGGCTCGCTCCCGCACAGCCCCGTCGACATGTGGATCGTCGCCTCCCACGGCAGGCGGTAGACCGTCGACGCGCCATAGTCGCCGATCTGCAAGAGCGTCAGCATGAGCTTGAGAGCTTGTGAGAGGAGGAGAGAAAGAAGAGGACAGGGGAGGACACATGGCAGTGGTGGGCCGGGACGACGTAGCCAGCCCATGCGCCTCATCCTCCCCCAACCATCCTGGTCTTAATCACAAAACAGAAGAAAGAACACCCACCTTCAAATGCCCCCCGTATCAAAGAACAGATTCTCCGGCTTGATATCGCGGTGCGCCACGCCCTGCGAGTGGAGGTACCCAACCCCGCTCAGAATCTGCTTGAAGCAGCACTCGACCTCGCTCGGCGACATGCCGCCCTTCTTGATCGCCGCGTAGAGGTCGCCGCCGGGGCAGAACTGCGAAGGTGAGGCAAATAGAGTTAGCGAGTTTTCGTGAAGAGGGCAGAGGAGAGGAGAGAAGGAAAAGAAGATATGAGACGGAAGAGGGGGAGCAAGCGGCCCGCCTCGAGCGAGGGACGCTGGCACCGGGCAGCGGGATAGCGTCGGTCATTGCGCATCGTGCTGTCGAGACATGCCCGAGGAGCTCGACGGGGGATCTCGTCGGCCCTCGCCGCCGCGCATCCATCCGGTGACGACCCCGCGGACACGCATCCAAGCGACTCCCCAGGCCTTCGGGGAACGCACCCCAACCTCCTATACATCGCACCACCTGCCCGCGCGCGCCCCATCGGACATCTTATTTTACCCCGCCGGCCATCCCTACACGCAACCATCGCGACCATCGATTAAGACAGACGGCCCCCATCCCAAGCGAGCATCGATCTGCACGAGCTCCCGGACCCACAATCAAAGATCCACGCCCCACCCCAGCGAGATCCACAGCGCTACGCGAGCCTAGCGAGATCCACCGCACCCGAGAAGCGAGATCCGCCGCCGCACCCCACAGGCGAGATCCGACGACCCGGGCACGAAAAAGCAACGATGGGGCTCGGAAAAGGGAAACCAGCGACCCAGTCCCTTGCCGTCTCCCATCCCGTAAAATAAGGGGGATCTAACCGTCTCCGAGGGGAAAACCACCAACACCTCTGCTTCGACTTTCGCCATTCTGCGGCACCACCCCACAAGCAAAAAGGAAGGGAAGAACGCAGAAAGAAAAAAATAGGAAGAAAAAAAAACAGAAAGAGAAAGAGAAAAACACACACCTCCATAACCTCACACCACCTGCCCTGCTCGTCCTGCACGAGGTCGACGGTCTCGACGATGTTGGCGTGGTGGAGGGTCGAGCTGTGAAGCGGGGTGAGTGTTAGCGAGCGCCGATAGACGGAATAAATCAAGTAGAGAAAATAAGAGGGCTGAAGGGAGGCGTAGAGTAGAATAGAATAGAACAACAGGATAGAGAAGGAGCGAGACTCCCCTTCCCACCGAAAAAAAAAAAGAAAGTGGAGGACGACGTCATACGCAAAAGAAAACGGGCGTCAGCGTCCGGGGCGCCCTCGAAGACCGTCGCAGGCCCAGCGCCGGAGGGAAGGGTGAGGGTATTCAAAGCCAAAACGCCGGACAGGCGCATTGCAATGGCACGCGCACCCCATCGCGTCCGACCCCGAAGGCGCAGCTCGCACCCCGACGACCCGCCGACCTCCTGAGACGAGGGCCGCGGAGCTCGCAAACCACCGACGCCGGCTTCGCCCGAGAAGCCGCGTCCGCACAATGCGCGACGCCACCCCCGACGCCACCCGAAGGCGCAGTTCGCAGACCACCAAAAGCGCCGGCGCGAGCCCAAAAATCGTCGACGCCCACTCCGGACCCCAAAACCCAAAGTACCATAATGCCATAGTACGATCGAAAACCGAAAGTACGATAGAAATCGAGTGTAGAAAAATGAAAGAAAACACACACCTGATACAAAACTCCGCCGTGAGCTTCTTGACGTACTCCTTCTCCGTCTCTGCGCGGCGGCGTTTGCGGAATTCCTGTGTGATTTTTGGGTTAGATGATAGTAGATAAGAAAGAAATGGGAAGACAGGAAAAGACGCACCTTGACAGCGTACATCTTGTCGCCTTCACTCCGGTCCCACTTGTGCGCAAGCCTTACGACAGACGTAGCGCCCTTGCCGATCGCGACCTACACCCTCCATTAAAACACCTCCAACGAATCGAGCACATCCACACACCTTCTGACACACCCCATACTTCTTCGACAACGACGTCGCCGAATCTCCCCCGGCACTCTTCACACTCCCCCCACTCCTCGTCTTCTCCTTCTTCCCCTCTTTCCCCTCCTTCCCCTCTTTATCCCTCCCCGACGCAGACAACCCCGCCCCCCAACTCCGATGGCTAACCTCGCTCCCGCTATCCGCACTATGCCTTGAACTCGCGCTCCGCGCGCTACTCCTCCGACTCAGCTTCGGCCCGTTCGCGAGCAGGTCTTTGAGCGTGAACTTGTGCTTCTCCCCGCCGTCCTTCTCCTTCCCCGAGGCGTGCGAGGCCTCGGAGATGACGGACGCCGCGCGGCTGGGCGCACGCGCAGCGGGCAGCGCAGGGGTGCTCGGCGCGGATTTGGATGATGCAGCCGACGCCGAGGCTGCGCGCTTCACGGATGCGGGTAGGGGTGCGGGCGGGGTGGGGCTGATGGGCGAGGTGGGTGCGGAGGCCGCCGCGCCGTTGGTGGAGGGCGGTTTCAGCGTGGTATTGGATGATGATGAGTTGGGTGTCGTGGTTTTGTCCGAGTTTGCCCTGTCGAGCAGATCCTGCCTCGTCATGCCGGGCTGCTTATCGTGCGCAGCTGCCTCGGGCGGGGAAGGGGTATGCTCGTCGTCGATACTTTCGGCGCCATCGTCTTCGTCGTCTTCGTTTCTTGTTTCTGTTCCTTGTTTCTTGCTTATTCTAAGTGAAGTCCGGTAGTAAGCTGCTAAGTAGTGTTGACAAAGCGCCGTAGAATGTCCTAGACCGTTAATTGGTCTGAGAAAGCAGGATGGGCATGGTGTGTGTACGCTGGCAGTGGTGTGGTGTAAGCAGAGCGTTGGTCGCACCACATCCGATACACTCGCGTAAACAATACCGTGACGCCCAACCACCAGCATAATTCCCGCATCAATAATAGATTGGTAAGTCGGCCCGGTTGCCGCTCAGGACCGTCTCTTTGGTGATCCTATTAACACTTGATTAAGACTTTTACAGACGTAGCAGTAAAAAATCGTAAGCCATAAAAAAAATTTGAGCGATCTCTGCGCTAAGGCCCGACCCCGAGTCGAACAGGGAATTTCCTCTGCGTCATACTACGCGATGTTCATAAGTGAAGGACGTGTAACCGTTACACCATCAGGCCGTTCCAGGCTTTGTCAATCATGTTGCAATGTTTGTTTCACTCGCTACCTAAAAAAGGTTTAAAAAAAGGTTATAAAAAAAGGTTATAAAAAAAAGGTTATAAAAAAAAAGGTTATAAAAAAACAAATGAACAACACCTCATGGCCTGAGCCGGATTCGAACCAGCGACGTTCTTACAATTTTTTGTTTCGAACCACTACAATATAATATAAGAACGTGTTACCACTACACCACCAGGCCGACACCAAATAGTCCACCTTGTGGTACCTATCAATATCTGACTCTACGTCAATTGGCAGCATGAAAAGCAAAGCTCACTCTCTCAAGGTCGACCGTTGTTACCACTCAACAGGACAAATGCGTTGGCCAAAAATAACAAAACAACAAGCTTCCAATGTATGGCCTGACCCGGATTCGAACCAGGGACTTCCACATAGGACACTTCACAATAGACAAATCAAAGAGGATGTGTAACCACTACACCACCAGGCCGCTGCAGATTTTGTCAATCATGTTGCTTCCGCTGCTACGAAAAAAAAAGCAAAAAACAATGAACCATGTACATTGGCCTAACCCGGATTCGAACTGGGGACTTCCTCAATTGATTTCATAATTGTAATAATTAAAGAGGATGTGTAACCACTACACCATCAAACCAACATTACTCATGAATCTTTGATTCTACCTAGATTAACTGCACTACATAAAACAAAGCTCACATTCATGATCTCCATTCTCTCGAGTACAAAACACCTCCAACGCGGTGGAGTGTCAAGTACCGCCCATAATTAACACGACAACGTGCGGGCCAAAAAAAGCAGATATGACATCCATGACTGGCCTGACCTGGGTTCGAACCAGGGGCTTCCTTTGAGCGATGATTGCCTTTCTTACAGAAAGAGGACATGTAACCACTACACCACCAGGCCGATACCAAGAATTGATCTCTAGATCAAATTTACTTCAGCCCTCAGTGATGAGAGACTGTCAAGAACAGAAGAAAAAAGAGGATAGCTTCCAAAAAGAAAGAAAAAACTCTTGATTGCTACACGCAATGGCCTGACCCAGGTTCGAACTGGGGGCTTCCTCATAAAACATGCTGTCATCACAAGCAATTAAAGAGATGTACCACTACACCATCAGGCCTGCCTTGATTAGCTACATCAGGTGAACAAGGATCACATCCTCTCTCTTCTGTTCAAGTACTCACTGGGCAGAGTACAATAAAAGACATCCATGCTTTCACTCAACATAATACTACTAATAGAATTTCAAAAAAAAAGTAGCAAGTCTCTACAGAAGGGGCACGGTTTCGACTGATGGGCTGACCTGGGTTTGAACCAGGGACTTCCTTTGCAAATTGATGATCTTGTATTGAAAGAGGATGTGTAACCACTACACTATCAGGCCAATAACCAACTTGTTCATAACCTCGGGGATCCTGATCACTGATCAGCTGGATTAGAATACCACCAGAGAGATGAAGAAGAAGGAGAAAACATCCATGTCCATGTCCCTCTTTTGAATTTCCTGTACCAAAAAAATCCGTAACCAACCAACCAACCAAAAAAAAAGTCCTTGCCCATGGCCTGACCCAAATTCAAACCGGAGACTTCCTCACAACCTTGGCGGAGTATTGCGATACTGAAAGAGAATGTGTAACCATTACACCACCAGGCCGATGTCAAAGCTGTTCAATTGCAACCTATGAGGATAGAGACTTTCAAGTTACATGATTGGTTGAATCCGCTCATGCTGCGGCAGCAAGGTTTGGAATTCATCTCTTGACTCTTGTCAGCAACAGCTCTTAATATCAGTGTATTCTGACAACGAGCGATACTGTGTAAAATAAGAAAGAGGTTTCTGTAATCCGAGTCAAAAGAAGAAGATGGAAAGAAATCCTTGATTTATGCACACAGCCCATGGCCTGACTTAGATGTGAACCGGGACCTCCTCTGGCATTTCACAAAATGTAAGTGGACGTACAAAAACTAAACCATCAGGCCCATAGCCTCTACCAACGTTAACTTCGGGAACACATCGATGATTGATCGCAGATTAGTTGGGTTGAATTCTGTTGAATCTCAAATGTCAAGTCAATCAATCTAAATTTCAGCTGCAAGGTGATCATGAGTGCAATGTGAAAGTCCACCTGCATTTGATAGGCCGGCCTAGTTGCAAGTAGATCAGATTTCTCTCCATTCGCTTGAAGTATATGTACAGCAGCAACGGCGAGAGGGAAACACATCTGTGCTTAAGTAACATACAGATTCTAAAAATACACGGTAGAGTGTAGAGCGCTAACCTAGCGAAAAATCCTCAACAGAACAACGCGCAGGCAAAAGAAAAAACATATGCTATCTGTTCATGGCCTGACCCGGATTCGAACCGAGGACTTCCTGTTAACATTCTGACAACAATTATAAATGAAGGAGGACGTGTAAACACTACACCGACAGGCCAGTGCTGGACTAGTTCAATTTGTGTAGACGTAGGCAGCGTTAGCGGATAGAATCGAGTCGCGGGTCGAGGTCAGGAAATTGACAATCCAACCATCAGCAAGTCGGCTGAATTAAAGGAAGTACTTCCGAAGTAGGTAGTTACATATTCTGCGAGACAACAGAACGCGAATGTTTCTCGCATCTAAACACCGATTTTTTTGAAAGATTGAGATGATCTGACCATAAACGGCGCTGCATCGAGATGCGGCATTCGCGCTTTACCCGAACGATGTTGTGCGGGTCTTTGCAAGTGTTAAACTTTTCTAAACTACATAAACGACAGCCACGTTGCATACCCGTCATGATCAAGTTGAACGCAAACGTTCACGGGACCGCCACATTTACAACAACTCAGCCCGTGGTGCAGGACACATGTATCAAGAGATTGGAGTCCCAGCAGCCGCACGGAATGAAAGAAATATTAACAGGGAAGTGAGACTGCATTGCCAAGAAACACAATTGCAAACGGCCCGACTCGAATTCATCGAACGAGCGCCGCACGGGCGATTCCCCAAGAATGGACATTTACTGCGACAGATAGGCCAGACAAGGTGGAGGACATGACATTCGCAGAAACGAAAAAGACCGCAAGTCCGTCCATTCTATTCTGCGCCGGTCAGGTCCGAGGTTGGGGCGTTGGGAGGAGGTGCGACCCAAAAGAAAAGACGCTACGTACTATGCACAGCGGCGTGCCCAGTCCATGTTGTCCTGTGCGGCAGCGGTGATAACGGGCCAGCCGGTGAAGCAACAGAATTGGTCGGAGTCTTTGAAATTTGAAGCGCAAACACTGCGTTCAAGACAAATCTAAGGCAATGCTGCCGAGGTCTGCCAGGTCACCTCGTCAGACCCTCAGACGAGGTTCGGCGAGATGAGCTGGCCAGGTGAGATAAAGGTCTGCCGAGGCGGCTTATGCAGAGCTCGGCAGGGCTGCACTGGATGACCGTGGCTGAGGCCTTAGCCGAGGCCTGCCGAGCACCTCTAAGTAGCCCCGCTAGCCTTGCCGAGCTAACTTCGGCAAGGCTTGCCGGACTTGAAAAAGGTGCAATCGACAGACCCCATTTTGGGTCTGTCAAGCTCAAATCGACAGACCTCGATTAACCCTGCCTAGTTTTGTCTTAAACGCAGTGAAAGAAGCGATCTGGAACAGAAGGTTTTTTTTTTTTCAGCCAATGCCTGACCTAACCCGCCAAATGTACGCACTCGCCACGCCCCCATGGCCAATCATCCTCCGAGTCGCGATCGGTTCTTCCAAATTGTCGCGGTGGATGTCCTTGGATGTCGCTCGTAGTGGCACAACTCGACGAAGCTTGTCATTGCCCGAGTTCGAGTCACGGTCATCACAATAAGGGGAACAGCGAAGCTCAGTTTGCGGCCGACAGCAGCCACAGACGTCAACGAAGGAAGTGGTGTCTGAAGTTGGTCTGAAGACGGAGTTCGAATTTCTGCGGAACACTCCGGCCGGCGGGCCGGATGTTTCCGGCTTTCGCTTTTTCGGGAATGGATACTCCACCGCTAGGTGATAATGTAAAACGATACTTTTTGGGATGCTCAATACGAATTTCCCCGGCTTGGAATAATTTCAAACCTGGCGACTTTGGCGACAAAATCCAAATCCGATGCGTAACTCTTCTTCATGAAATAAGGACTTAAATTTCGAGGTCCGCGTCGGATCTTGTGAGAAGTGCGTTTGAATCAGTGTCATAAGAATTACTTCACAGGATAAGTCAGGATAATATATTATACTCAGCTAGGTCCCCTTTCGGAACGTGCTGAGTTGTAGGAGCTAGTACAATAGGCCAACGGAAATGTACTACACTACCTACACCACAACCCACGCACTTCGACGAGCTCGCCGCTTTTAAGGCTGTCGATCTAGGCACATGAGAGGCAGTATTAATCTAGACTGAGCTGGACACTGATACAAAACTCATATTTTGCTCTCCGGGGGACGCCACATCGCCACATCATTGAATAGGGCCAATATCTGATGTACGAACTTTGCAGTTTTAGCAACAGTTGCGCAATCAAAAACAAGCCGCTTTAGCACATCAGTCGCATTCTCCGCCGAGACTTGTGTAACTGCCGGAACAAGCTTTCTCATTCTAAGCTTGAAACCCGCCCTCTTCTCCATAATGTCAAGAGAACCATTACAGAAAAACAGGGCATGTTCGGCAGTCTCCATGCATCCACATCCGAATCTGCAAAGTCGACGATGTCTTGGGGAAGGCTTGCAATATCTTTCCTTGTACCTCAGCCGCTCTATTGCTAAGCAGTGCTGCCCAAGCAATAATCTTGTCAGCGACTTGCGATGCCTGTAGTTAACTACTATCTTCAAGTAGTGCCTCAAGACAATCGTAATGGCCCTTGGTGGTTTATCTTCAAGTGGCTCTTTACGACCATGCAGCAAGTACAATCTCGGCGAGTGCGAAATTTGGAAATCCAGGTATTTCATTGCAGAGATATACACCGACTTCCCTAGGGCAACACATTTTTCCTGCGTCAACTCGGTCAGCGGAGGCAACTGAATGCTGAAGGGCAATATTTCTAATGCATAAGCGAGGTCCATCCAATAGCCCTGCTTGCCATTCAGAAACAGTGTGTATGAATCTTGTAATGCCAACCACGCATAATGATCGTGTGCGAGCCCCACTAAATATTGCAGATATCTCAGTGCTAATATCAAGCGTCGATAACGGAGTGGTATCAGCCCCAACTCAGTAAATAGCGGTGCACGTATGGAGCGAGACCCCAACCGCAGAAGTCGTCTTAAATATGACAGCTGAACTTTTTCTAGGACTGCCAACATTGAGTCGTTAACATCGACAATAACATCGGCACCACTGATCAGATGTGGATCAATGCACGCCATGTAAAGCAGACGGCCTTCTTTTGGTGGTAAGTCCCCGATATATGCTTCCGTCCCAAAGACCGAATAGCATGTGCCACGCGCTATGTTGGCCTTCTCTATATAATTAGCCGCAAAAATATTGCGCTCTGTGGACTGGAACATTATTCCAACATAACAGAATCTATCTGCATATCGAATCAGACTCCCATTAATCGCAAAAATCGGTATGTCCTTAGGTATAGGCCCAAAAATCATGACCCAGGACTTATCAGCATTTGCTTCTAACAGATTATCGCCACACCACTGTGCAAAAGTATTCAAATGCCGCTGCAATCCATCCGGCGAATAAGATACAATTGCCATGTCATCCGCATGTTCCAGGTGAGCCATTGCTACGCCAAAAAGCAACACATCAGCGCTGTCCGGGTGTAGTTTAAAGTCGGCGAAGAACAAGTCCCAGAGGGTTGATGACATCGGATCTCCAATTAACACCCCAATATTTGACTTGAACGGTTCTGAGTACTGTCCTTCGAGCGTGACAACATACTCCATTTTACCATACAGCATTCTCATCCAGTCAAACAGTTTCCCAGAGACCCCCATGTTGTATAATTTCACCCAGAGCAAATCTCGATTTGTAGATGGAAATGCATTCGTAATATCCAAGAACGCAACCCACAACGTCCGCCCTTCTGATCTTGCCCGTTCAATCATGCAGCGCAGGACAAATGCATTATTATTGGTGCGGTATTTTTCTCGGAAACCATTCTGTGATGGTGGAATAATTCCCCTTGCCTCCGCCCAATCATAAATGCGTTTATGTATCAGCAAGCAAATCAGCTTCAAAAAGCAACTCTCGAGTCCTACTGTTCGATAACTATTGACCTCTGATAAGGGCTTCTTCTTCTTCGGAATGGCAGCAATGAGTGTGGTCAGCCAAACCGATGGCACATCATTTCGTTCTATGCACTCATTGATCACTTTGCACAATACGTCATTTTCAATTTCGAGAATCCTGTCATAGTGCAATCTGTCCATGCCAGCGGCCGTCGTTGAATGAGACTTCAGATGGTCTTTTGCCCACTCAATATCCTCAACTGTCACCGATTTACTAAATGTCTTATCCGAAGACGTATCCTTGGAGGGAGTAGGTATGGCTCGAGCACGCTCTTCCGCTGCTTGCTTAAAATCCATGTTAAATGACGCAGGCGGAGGCTCCGGCGCATTCATTCGCTTCTCAAAGCATGATGCAAGATCTGGAAGGGAAACCGCTGGAGGTTTCTTCCTTGGATTCACCATTTCTCTGTACACCTTCCAAAAAGCTGCCGAGT